CTGTAAACTTTCACTCAATCTACAATAAAAACCTTAAATTAAAAAAATAAATAAAAACAAGGGGGTAAACAACCACAAACAAATAGCTGGGGAAAAAAACAACAACAAAGACTTCTTAAGTCAAATGATTTGGAGAAAGCACTCTTGCTTTTCACCCCTTATCAACCCAAGTGCATATTATCATGTTATAGCATCTTAGAAGAACTGTAGCAAGGAGACCTGCCTATGCTACTTGAAACCACATTTATGAAACTTATTTGACCGTGGACTGATATGATGATATTATTTATTTCCACATTTCTTTCTATCACCTTTCTTTGTAGTAGTCATGCACTTGGCTCTCTTTCAGTTGGCTGGCCACTACGGTCTCTTTCAAATTTCTTGGCATAAAACAGTGAATGCTTCCAGTGCTGCATTCATTCACTGAACCATCTCAATTGGTATTCCATCAATTTCTGCAGCCTTCTTTTCTCATCAATGCTTCCAGTGCACCTTGATCTTCCTTCAAAATAATGGGTTCTTGATACACTCGGATGGTTTGTGCTTCAGAGTTTTTTTTGTTTGTTTGTTTGTTTGTTTGTTTTTTGTATAATGAACCATAATGAAATGGACCAAATGGTCTCAATACCTAGCTTCCAGAACTCAAACAGAAATATTACAATAGCCTTGAGAGATCACCCTGCCTTGAAATTCTTACCCTACAAGACAATTCTAATTCTTGTTCCCTCATTATTAATTGAAGATTTCTTTGCTTACTAACTAATATTTGTGATTGTAATGATACTAATCAGTATTGTTGTTAGGTACAATTGGTTTGATTTCAACTCATAGCAATTTCATATGTAAATGAATGAATAAGAGAGACACCGTTGAGCCTATATACCACCCATACTGTATAAACGATCATTTCATATGATGAAAACCTTTTCTATAAAGAACACATCAAGTCAACCAAAAGTCTTAGGGAATCAATTAGTTTGCGAATTATGAAGATTTCATAGATGGTATAAACTGAGTCTTCTTACTTACGATGGATGTTTTAAAGGCGTAAAAACAGTGCAGAAAACTTACTTGGCAGCCACATGAATTCTGGAGTTCCAGATGAGAAAAGTGATCACTGTGCCAGCATGAAGAATTCTTCCTATCAAAACAATGGAAAAAACCAGAATGATATTTCAGATTACAGAAATATTGTATTTCCATAAAAAAGAATCCCATCACACTACAACAGAGTTCACAAGACAATCATCTCTGGCTGCTACAAAAGCAGTACTCTGACATTTGTTTTCACAGCTTGAATTGTTAATCTGACAATGTTTATTACAATGACAATATATCCATCACATTAAAAGATGTTCACTTGGTTCACTGTATTGCATGTTGACTGAGGCTCTTAGGAGGCTGTGAGGTTTACTGTTAAACCTGAGATTACAAATCTCAAAGGCTGAAACCTTCAGCTCCAAGAAGCAATTAAAAAGCACAGTGAGCTGCTAATTCCTATTCACTACATGGCATTATCTCCATCAAATAAATTTCCCATCAAATAAAATATTAAAAAGATGCAATTAATGAATTTCCATCTTAAAGAAAATTGAGCAACAGGAAACAACTTGTAGCAATAATTTAAAATATAGTTTTATTCTAAAGTCACTGTATATATATATATCGTTTTCTCTTGGTCCCACACTTAGATTTTTTATTTCCAAATCAAAAGTTGCTTTAATAATGACATTTCTTCTCCATTACTTGAAAATTGAGGAATATGGAAGGAAACTGATAACCCTTGAGTTATTAACACCCAGCTAGATATTTTTACCAAAAGTCTTGACTAGCCCCATTTTTCAGAAAAAAAATGATGGGGGTCCTGAGAGATAAAGTACCTTTCCTAAGATCCTATGTCAGCCTACCTCCAAGCCCTTTGCTCTTCCCTGTGTTTCATTAGTATGAAACGTTGTTGTCGGTGTCATGGATGCTTTCTATTCATAGTGACCTCATGTGGCACAGTACCGTTGTCCAGTACTTTCTTGACCATGATCTTTATGGAAGCAGATTTCTATCACTTTCTCCCACAGAGTGGGTTTGAACTGCCAACCTTAAACTAGCATTTGAACAAAATAGCCAGTCACTGAGTTTAAAAAAGTGGCATCCAAAAAAGAAAATTTCTATTTCTATTCATCAGAAGAGCAAAGTACATTTTCCAAGTCATTTTTTTAAATTTCAAAAATAATTTAAATTCTTTCCTTATAATACTTTCTTGGCTTATGGGAACTCCAGTTGAGACTTAGAAGTTTACATGGAAATGAAACCTACCAGCTACATTTTAAGCAGATGACTACATCTGATAACAACTTTAAAAATAAATTACTCCATTTATACTTCTTAAAGTAAGCAGGCTCTTTCTCCTTCGCATACTTGTCTTAGATAACTTTTAGCAAGTATTTATAACTTAACAGATAACAAAAATAATGTTTCCTCTTTCAAATTTTTCATTATGCTCAATCATGTTTGAGCTTCAAAGCTGCACAATTATCAGTGACAGTTTAAACAAATTGATACACTTTAGGGTCTCCACCAGCATCCAGAAATTTTTCTAATAAAATAAAATATTTAATATGAAACCATGTGAGCATTCCAAAAAAAAAAAAAAAAAAAACAGACAGAAAAGCAATTTAGATGTTTCTACTTAAAATGTCCCTTCAGAGTTTAAGAACCTAAATACATATCACTTTAATTTAGACTAGCATGTTCCTAAAAGTTTTCTGTGGGACGCTACAGTTCCAGAATAAATATGTCTTCAAAGTGGTCACTTGATTCTTCATGTTTAGAAAGACTACATTAAACAGGTTTCTTAAATCTAAGATTGTCTTGGGTTTTTAATAGTCTAATGTGCACTTTGCGTTTGGGAGATACAGAGAAATGTTACAGGGAACTATTCTCTTGGGAGTAGTATTCCAAGAAAGGAGACTTTCCAAAGAGAACACAAGCTATCCACAGGGCTACCCTGTGATTTACTGTAGACAACCATTCTTTCTATAGAACCAGGGGCACATTTTGATAAGTAGAGGCAGAGAAAACTTTAGAAACACAGTCAGTAAGAGGTAGAGCTGAGATTTGGAGTCAAACAGACTGGTTCCAGAACCTGTCTTCTAAACCACTTAAACATGACACCAGATACAGTGAATCTCCACACTTTTAATCTTTGGCCTGATTTCCCATATTTATACTCCCTCTGAGGGAGCCTTTCACCAGTCATGCCAGGCTTCCACCTAATGACAACTCATAAGGCTTATGAATTTTCCATTGTTTCCCAAGCATTACAAGCATGATGGCACTGAGAACATTCATCACAATTCTGCAATCTAATGATGAAGATGAAGCTCTTTAAATTATGAAAATAATCTCTAAACATCTCTCCACTTGAAATTTTATTTAAAATAAAAATTTTAAGATTTGATAACTACCAAGTTTGCTCTGTAGCGTCGTGGTTACAAATTGGGCTGTGAGCCAAAAGGTCAGCATTTCGAAACTACCAGCTGTTCCACGGGAGAAAGATGAGGCTTTCTGCTCCTGTAAAGATTTACAGCCTTGGAAAACCCTATGCAGGGTCACTGTGAGTTGGAACTGACTCCATGGCACATAGCAAAAACAATGTTTGCTCTGTATTAAAACACTAGCAAAAATGGGAGTAGGGAATGACCATTTGCCTCAAAAATAATAAGGAAAGTTGTCACTGGAGTGACACCAGATGTAAGCCTTGTAAAATGAAAGCAAATAACATTTGTTGTTGTTGTTGTTAGGTGCCATCGAGTCAGTACCAACTCATAGTGACCCTATGCACAGCAGAAACACTGCCCAATCCTGGGCCAACCTCATTACTGTTGCCACACTTGAGTCCATCGATGCTGCCACTTGGATTATCCATTTTGTGGGGGTCTTCCTCTTTTTCTCTAACCCTCCACCTTACCAAACATGATATCTTTCCCCAGTGACTGGTCCCTCTAGACAATAAGTCCAAAGTATGAGAGACAAAGTTTGGTCATCCTGGCCTCCAAGGAGCACTCTGGCTGCACTTCTTCCAAAACATATCTATTGGTTCTTTTGACAGCTCATGGCACTTTCAATATTCTCCTCCAACACCAGAACTCAAAAGCATCGATTCTTCTATGGTCTTCCTTATTCACTGTCCAACTTTTGCATGCATATGAGGTTATTGAAAATACCATGGCTTGGTCAGGCGCACCTTAGTCTTCAAGCTGACATCTTTGCTCTTCAACACTTTACAAAGGTCTTATGCAACAGATTTGCCTACACAATATGTCATTTGATTTCTTGACTGCTGCTTCCATGAGTGTTGATAGTTGATCCAAGAAGAATGAAGTCCTTGAGAACTTCAATCTTTTCTCCATAGATAAGAATGTTTTTTATTGGTCCAGTGGTGAGGATTTTTGTTTTCTTTACATTGCAATGCAATTCATATCAATGGCTGTGGTCTTTGGTCTTCATCAGCAAATATTTTAAGTCCTCTTCAGTTTCAGCAAGCAAGGTTGTATAATCTGCATATCACAGGCAGTTAATGAGTCTTCCACCAATTCTGATGCCATGTTTTTCTTCATATAACCCAGCTTCTCGGATTATTTGCTTAGCATACAGGTTGTATAAGTATGGTGAAAAAATACAACCCTGACGCATACCTTTCTTAATTTTAAACCATTTAATGTTCTCATGTTCTGTTCGAACAACTGCTTCTTGGTTCATGTACAGATTTCTCATGAGCACAATTAAGGGTTCAGGAATACTCATATTTTGCACTGTTGTCCGTAGCTTGTCATGATTCACACAACTGAAAGCCTTTGAGTAGTCAATAAAGCACAGGTAAATATCTTTCTGGTATTCTCTGCTTTCAGCAAAGATCCATCAGATATCAGCAATTACATCCCTCGTTCTACAACCTTTTCTGAATCTGACTCGAACTTCTGGGAGTTCTCTGTCAATGCAGCAATTTGTGTATTAGCTTTAGCAAAATGTTACTCACATGGGATATCAAAGATATTGTCCAATGATTTCTGCTTTTCATTGGGTCTTCTCTCTTTGTAATGGGCACAAATATGGATGTTTTCCACTCAGTTGCCCAGATCATTGTCTTCCTAATCTTCCTAATTTCTTGGCATAGATGAGTGAGTGACTCCAGTACCACCTCACTTTCTTGAAATATTTCAATATTTATGCCATCAATTATTGGTGCCTTGTTCTTTGCCAATTCCTTCAATGCACCTTGTACTTCTTCCTTCAGTATCATTGGCTCTTGATCATATGCTACCTCTTGAAATGGTTGAACATTAACCATTTCCTTTTGGTACAGTAACTTTGTGTATTCCTTCCATCTTCTTTTGATGCTTTCTTCATCATTCAATAATTTGCCCAGAGAATCCTTCAATAACAAAAGTCGAGGCTTGAATTTTTTCTTCCATTCTCCCATCTTGAGAAATGCTGAGTGTCTTCTTACCTTTGGTTTTCTGACTTCAGATCTTTTCACATTTTGTGGTAATATTTGTCTTTGTCTTCTTGAGCTGACTTCTGAAATTTTCTGTTCAGTTCTTGTACCTTCTCATTTCTTCCATTTGCTTTATCATCTCTATGCTGAAGAGCAAGTTTCAGAGTCTCCTCTGACATCCATTTTGTTCTTTTCCTTCTTTTTTATAGGTAAAAAATTTTTGCTCTGGTTTGGGACTTCAGTAAATCAAGCCCTACCTAAATAACAGACAGAAATTGTTTTTCATGTCAATATTCATAGCCTCTTTGTATGCTACAACTCCACTCCTGCAAACCTTTTCTATGATTACCAGGAAAAAGGGTAGAAATAGTTATAAGATGAGAAGGCATTAAGGGTAAAGTCCTTGGAGGAAGATAGGGAGTAAAACACAGATCCAGTGAGACAAAAGAAGGTTCAGAGGTAACAAAATAGGGAAGGCTGCAGGAACAGTATCAAAGAAAGAGATGTGGTGAGTTCTGGGTGCCAACACCATACTTGTAAAAGTAAAAGAGTTAACAAAATAGAATTTTAATATGCTCTGCTGGCATTTATAAATTTATTATACTTCCTTTTCTTTGGGATAAACTGTGGTTGCTACCGTTAAATGTTAT